TCAACATTGTACTTGAAACCAGATGTACAACCAGTCTTTCGTGCTAAAAGCCCAGTAGCATATTCCAGGTTACCGTTGATTGAAGAAGAACTAGACAGATTGCAGCATCTAGGTGTTATTACTCTGTGGGGGGTATCTGTGGGGACTATTTATCAGGACTAAACGCGTGTTTAGAGCCACATTAGTATCCTCTGCGTACTCCAGAAGAAATTTACGCAAAAGTCGCGTGATGTCATTGCTTCTCTGTGATAGATTTATCAGATGCATATCTTCAAGTACCTGCCACGTCAGAGTCAGCCAAGTTGCTCACCATTAACATGCATCAGGGGTTATTTACGTTCAATCGGCTCGCACCAGGTATCAAAAGCGCCCCGGGCGCATTCCAGCAAATCATGGACACCATCCTGTCAGGTATAGACGATACTGTCGCCTATATTGACGACATCAACATAGGCGGGGCAACATTTGAAAAACATATTGGAAATAGGGTTCGAACGATACTATCGATATTGAGTAAGTATCGATACTGAGGGTATAAAAATGAGTACTTTAATACTCGATACCTTATTTGGTGATTTTACTCGATACTTTGCAAAGTACTCGTTGTATCGAACACTTATTAAAAAACACACTTTAAACTCTTTCTTCCATTAGCAACCCAATTTTCTTTGCTTATATGGATTACTAGCATTCAATTTTGTCAATCACTTAAAATAAACTGGAATTGCGTGTAGTCTGTTGCATAACATAAACCAAATAAGTAAAAGTTTAATGGCCTTATTCATAAAAAATAAAGTAGGTTTAAAGAGCTTAGTAAAATGACATTTTCATACATTTTTCAGTTTATATACCTTTTTTATTTTTTATGAATAAGGACAAAAAATTTACGCAAAGTTCACGAAAATGCAGAATTTTTAGAAACTTTTTGGGTATGTAGTTTTGTAACCTATTCAAGTTTACGTGTAGCCTTCTACCGTTGACTTTAAATTCAAACTTCCACATTATTATACTAAAATTGAATAGGATACACAAATGCATACCCAAAAAATTTACAAAAATTTTTTAATAAAATTCAAAATTCGTGAAAGTATATATAAATATATATATATATATATATATGTGTGTATGTATGTATGTACATTTAACGTTAAAATTAGTTCGAACGTAAAAGTAAGTTTTGCAGTGAAATAATAAATATTTTAAATTTCTATTGTTTTAATTTCAGGAAATAACTAGATATAAGAAGGAAGAATAAAATAATTTTAGTACTCCAAATACGTATTTTAATGAGTCCGATACTGAGTAGTGTCGATACTTTTTTCCTGATACTTTTAGAGTATCGATACCATGAGCTCGATGCCAGAATGAGTACTCAGTATCGATGCCAAAGTCTGAAATTTCGAACCCTAATTGGAAACCTTCATAAAGTGGCACAACTACAAAAGTATAGGGATGCAAATTTTGGGGAGTAACATCGATACACCGATGTTTCGATGCATCGAAAAAATTAACATCGATGCTAAAATACATCGCCAGAAAAACATCGATATATCGATGGTATCCGATGTTTTGAAATTTATTAGGTTGTCATATTAAAAGGAAAATTTAATACTTTTCAGTTCCAACTCTCTGTTCAATTAGAAAAATACTTACATATGGATGTATTTCCCTATATTTGTTTACTATTCCTTTACCCTTCCTATAAATAGAATAGAAATGCATGCCGTCGTAAGTTTGCTGGGCATAATGACTAAGTAAGCATTTTTAATATGGAAAGATAAGAATGTTCCTCAAAAGAATAAGTAATCAAATTCATGGCCAGTCAAAAACTTTTAGGGGCATAAGTCGATGTTAAAACATCGCTGAAACTGGCATCGATGTATCATCATTTTAGCGATTTTAGGAAATTGTAAACATCGATGGTAAAGATCGGATTTTGAGCCGATATTATCGATGTTTCGAAAAATCGATGCATCGTTTGCATCCCTACAAAAGTATAAATTTCATGTCCAGTTCAACAAATGTAAATTTTTCGCAGTGTAAAATCAGAGCACCTTTAGACAAATTACTTCATCAAAATGAAAAATTTAATTGGAACGCTGATTGTCAAAAAGACTTCCAGGAATTTCAACACATTTTAAACTCAGATTTAATGCTTACGCATTATAATCCAAGTTTACCAATAAAAGTAGCAGCAGACGCTTCCAATAAAGATATTGGAGCGTTCATTTGCCATGTTTTCCCGGACGGTTCAGAAAACCAGGGTTCGGAACTTTAGCCCCTCGCTCGCTCGTTAGTGTGCTCTGAGCTTGCGCAACTCATGGGCGACGGGCGTGGCCATGATAAAAATATGACAAGGTAAATTAATTCTCTCAATTCGTCGGCCATGATTTTTTTCTGACATTTGCCAACATTTTAAAACCATATAAAATTGAGAATAAAAAAATTAAATTTTTCGCAATTGTTGTTGTTTGAGATTGAAAATGGGAATGTGTGTGTGAGTTTGAGTTTTTAATTTTTAAATTATAATGCTGGCAAATGTCAAACTGCCTTTCAATGGTTTTACCTTGTCCAGTGTTGCCAAACATAAGCTTTTCCTACCAAAACTGGTAGGTTTTTTTCCATTTGGTAGGTTGGTAGGCTTGATTGGATTTTGGTAGGTTTCGGGACAATGAGTAATAGTTATTTGCAAAAAAATAGAAAATATTTTAGCAACCTTTTTTACACAAATATTTCACCGCTGCGTTCGTATAATTGTGGCCACAAACATGTAAATATACCTGATTCCTAAGTACAAACGTATACCTTATTATCGCCAATATGGAATACGGACGTCCATATATCGTGACCTAAGGGTGAAAAGGTGCCAAGTCCATGTTTAGAAATTTTTCAAGAGAGACGAAAAATCGATGTAGTTTCGTATTACCTGTAATTCTGCATCAAAAACTAAACTTCGAAAATATATGGACTTGACACCTTTTCACCTTTAGATAGCGATATAATTTATGGCGTACTTGGACCAAGATTCCAAAAAAATCTGCCAATGGGCTCGTACTCAACCATATTTCAGGCGGAAGTCTTCCCAATCGAAGTCTGTGTTCGCGAATGTCATCGTGGAAGGCAAATGAGGCCAGAATAAATATTATGTCGGACATTCAGGCAGCGTTAAAGGCCTTAGAGTCTTTTAAAACGGCATCAAGGCTTGTAAACTCTTGAACCACCTGCGAAGCCACAATAGCGTCATGCATGAAGGGTTTGAAGGCAACGAAAGGGCTGGCGGTCTTGCAAAGCGTGAAGCCCAAATGCGTTTGCATGGTCCCTAGCCTTCCTGTGGTACATCTAAAGGAAGGATTTTCGCGGACTGAAATGAGCGAGGTAAACTCGAACTCTATTCCCCTCTTATCCTAACAAAACCGGGTCTAGGCGGACTGAGCAGTCCCAGTCCAGTGTGCGAAGGCCCATTTGGTGTAATTGGGTGTAATTGAATAATAAGTTAATGAAAATCAAGGGTAATTGTGCACTTCAGGGTCCCCACCGATTGCAAAATAATCAAAAATGGGAACCAAATATGCGTATTACTGCCAGTATGAGGAATCCGAAGGCGGAAATTTTCATCTAGGTGTAATAAAAATATGGAGGTGCTTGGTGTCGGCAATATATTACTTTTAGAGAAAGTTTTAATTAATGATGCCGATAACAATAAATATGAGAGATTTAAAGTGGTTTATAATAAAAAAAACTGGCAGAACTTTTCTACACAGTAAGTAAAATTCTGCATAGTAAGGGTTATCATCCCTAAGTGCGGCCGAAGGCCGCCTATGCAGAGTTTAGCCAGTTTTTTATTATAAATAACTTAAAATCTTTCACATATTAAAACCTTCTCGAAAAGTAATATATTGACGAGGCCAAGCACCTCCATGTTTTTATTACACCTAGCTTCAACTAGCAGAATAAAGGAGATGCCGGTTTTTTACATTGTTTTCGCATTAATATTTAAATAAATCAATAAGTTTCGCGATTTTTTTGTTACAAATTTAGTTAAAGTAAATTATAGTGAACATCTAGATAATGTATTTATTAACGTGAATATAGTACTGACATAGTTGAGCTGAATGAAACGGTTTTTTGCAAATAACTTTTGAATGGTTTAAAGAAATCAGTTTCCGCCTCGGATTCTTCATACTGGCAGTAATACGCGTCCTTTGTTACCCCTTTTGATTACTTTGCATTAAGTTTCGGTGGTGATCATGAAGTGCCCTTGATTTTCATAAACTTATTATTCAATTACACCAAATACTTTTTCTTTTTTAACTTTTGCTTGAAAAATTTCATGTGACGCGATTACTTTCCTCTTTTAATTGAACAAATAATCTGGTGTATCAAATATTTGGTGTAAACAGTGAATAAGAACTTCTGTGCACCCTGTGCCTTCGGAAAGTGCCCCAGTGATGGAAAAGTAGGCCCAATAGTGCCATTTTTGGCACTTTCTTCACAAAGGCGCTCTTGGCACAATTCATTCAGTTTTGAAACTATCATAATATATAGAAACTTTGCCAGTATTTGACGAACAATGCGAAAAGTTAAAATTAAAATCAGTTAGAAATTAAAATAAGGGTCATTATATAAAATTAATAAAAAATATTCAATGTAAAAAAGAATAGCCAAACTGGTCAAAATGTCGCACTGGTACTATTTCGCACATAGGTATGTGTATGTGTAAACAGGTCCGAGCAGCTATAATTCAGTGTTTTTTCCCCTTCGTAATTGGAATATTGTGTTATTTTACTAGGATTTTACTATAATAATTTAATGAAGTACACTAAAAATACTATTTTTAAAAATACATACGTTGTTCTTAAAAAGCCTTAAAGGAAATCAATCTCAATTTTGTGCCGCTTTCATCTCCTTTATGGCATTATTTTTGCATTCCATTAGGTACATTTTAAAATTTTGTAATTCCATCCCTGAAGTGCCCTACTGCTAGCCTTATTGATCAGCTGTTTTATTAAACGTCAATCGGTGTATTAGGAAGAAAGCTCATAAACAGCACATAATTAAATTTACTGAAATTGAAATATAAATCACTACCAATTATAACAATTAACTTAAAAATGGCAACGTTAGAGGATAAATTGATGGGAGAAAAATTAGAGTATTATTGTAGCAGTAGCGAAGGAGAAGACAATGGTGACGGTGATGATGAGACCTGTGGAAGAGGTTCTAGCGGTAGTAAACAAGGAGCTGCTGGTTACACGGACCCGAATGTTTGTCCCCCAACACCCGCTGAGGGGTATCGTTCTCAAGTCTCTACGAACACTGGTCCTAAAGGTGTGGTGCAGGATTGGCAACGTTTTAAACAACTTCAAGCAGAAAAACGCGAAGAGTCTGAACGTCAGCGTATAGAACTGGCCAAAAAGCTTACAATGGCCACAGCAACTGCCAAGGAAGAAGAAGAACGGAAGCGCCAAGAAGAAATTGATGCTGAATTAGATGAACTCATGAGTGAAGACTTTTTACAACAATATCAAAAGCAACGAATGGCTGAGATGCTCCGGCAATGCGGTCATATAAAGCAATTTGGGAAAGTTATCAACTTAACAACGCACGAAGAATTTTTAGACTTCGTTGAAAAAGAAAACAAACACACCACCGTTATTATACATATTTACGATAAGAATGTGAGCGCTTGTTCTACTCTGAATCGTTGTCTTGATACGCTTGCAACTGAGTATTCGTTCATAAAGTTTGGTAAGATATGTAGTTCTGTTGCTGGAATGAGTCGAGACTTCCGTTCCAAGGGGCTGCCAGCTTTACTAGTCTATAAAGCGCAGGCATTGATCGGAAATTTCGTGCGGGTCACAGATGACTTATCAGATGATTTCTTCCCATCGGATGTTGAAAGCTTTTTAATCGAGAACGGCATAGTGGTAGACAAAACGTTGTATAATTAAGAAAAAATCTTAACTTGTACGATATGCCAGGTGAGAGTTTGATAAAATGTATACTAAATTATGACTACATATGTATCTAATATTTCGTTACAGATATTTGCTATTCGTAGTACAATGTACGGTTGCCAGAATGATACAACTATTTGTATATGACCCATCAGACTACCCAACAAACATTTAGGTTAGAGAGCGATTAGAATTCGATTCGAATTCGAAAGTGTTTTTCTAAAGTAGAAGGTTAGATTACAGAAATTGTTGAGAACTTTAGCATTCTCTACAAAAAGGGGACTTAGTTCTCGATAGGTTAGATATCGAATCGTATTCTAACGTTGAATTCTAATTGGTTTTCAATGTCTAGTGCCTAGTGTTTTTCGTATCATTCTCTAACCTAGTTCTAAGATAGTACTCTAACCTGGCATGAATCACGTAACTTTGCAACGATAGTCGTTCAAACGATGCTGACAAAACGATTTCGTCAAAACACTGATTCATATATTTGTGTTGCAGTTACGTGTTACGTGAAGCAAAATTAGAATCGTGTTGATAACGAACAAACGATCAAATAAGTTTTAGTTTTCATGAAGCAAGACAATCTCGACACGATATCGCACAGTGAGACAACGCCGGCATTAAATACAAGGAGTCATTGTAGAGCTCTGAAATTTTGCACAGGTTATTTTTGAGACAATTCCAGTTTAAAAAAAAAAAATAAGAAAATTCGCCCACTTTTACGCCCACCTGCCATACAGTCGAAATTTGTAAAATGCCGTATTGTCCGTAATACTTTAGGTATAACTTTCAATTTTGGTATACTTGAATGTTATATAGTTACAAACATTATTTGAAATAAAAATTGAACTTTGGCCCACTTTTAACCCCATCACCCATACTACCTCAAAATAAAAAGTGCCATATTTTCTAAAATATATTAAATACAACCTTCAAATTCGATATTACTGTAATTTATATCATTTAAAATGTTTTATGCAAAAATTACAATAACACGCCCACTAATACGCCCACCTCCCATTGAAATGCAAAAAAAAACAATATTTTTTTTTCATTCAATCAATAATTTTTTAACATCATCATGGTATTCTAATTTTTTTAATTTGTTTCTCATTCTAAATGAATTAATATAAGGATCTGATGATATTTGCAAATAGTGCATTACATCTTCATTCGTAGAAATACGTGAATTTTTACGAGAATGGAATAGCCTACAGTTTCTATACTCCTTATTCATTGCTTCTTGCGCTTCTTCGGATAACATTCCTGTAGCAAAAAAAAAAGTTAATATTAAATAAAGTTTAAAAAAATACTTTCAAAAAGAAGGTGCACCTTCTTCCTCTAATTTAATTAAATTTTTTTTTTGTTCCTTTTTCTAAGCAAACATTTTTTTTCTTAAGTTAATAGTTGCAGTACATTATTACATTTTTTTTTCCTTCTTTATACTTATGAATTTAAAACCAAAGTTGCAAGTCCTAACACTTGAGCACGAAATCAAAAAAAAAATTATTTTCTATGGCGGCTGAGGGCCTCACTAATGTTACTTTATAGCTAAGTTGTTTTAATTTATGCACTTATACATTATGCTGGTGGCGGCAAAAAAAAACACAAAAGGTGAGCGGTTAGCTAGTGGCGGCGAACTTTTTGCTGGGGAGGATTGGCTCCAGGGGATACAAGCAAACTTGCCCGATAGATGGCGGGAAAGAAACTACTTGTTTTTAGCAAAAATAACATTGCGTTGGTATTTTCGATTGAACCTTTTAAAATACTCTATTTTCCTGCCAGGCGACAAGCGGTACTACAATATAACAATTAAACTAACAACATTAGAAAGTGATCATAACACAACTTAGATAAGAACAATATCTTGCACTATCAATTTAAATTAAAAATTATGCAACTATCTAACCCAAAGTCAATGACCTTCAACAAAATTATCTATCAAATTAATAACGTGAATAAAATTTATGTAAACAAGAATATTTTTATTAAAACATAAATGATCTTTAAAGCATAATTCTGAATAACTAACAAAAAACAAATGTAATTTATTACTATTCTCTTGCACAATAAGTGAATAGTAAACAATTAAAAAAAATAAAAGTAAAAAGTTGTAAACATGCTATTGCATGCTAACATACGTATAGCGACAGAATGTGCGCGTTACGTACTTTTTGTAGTTTTTTGTATGTTTAATGTGCTTTTGCAAACTTTTGCTATATGTCCTCTACTTTAAATTAAAGCTGAGACTTCAAACTTTCATTTGGTATAAGTCTGCACCTAGGGCGAGGGGCTGCTCTATTTTTCCTAGGCCATTGAAAATGCAAAATGTTCAATTTTTGCACCACAATTCTGTTGTTAAGAAAAAAAAAATTGTTTTTTTTTTAAATTTATTTTTTCATTTACTCATTCTACAATAACTAAATTAATTAAAAAAATACTTTAAAGTTACATTTATTATGTATTTTTATTTTAATAAGCTTTTGATTATTACATATTGAACTAACATATTTCAAGCGCGCTGGCATACCTCAACTTTGACTTGCTCTAGACCAAAAAGTAATGAAGTTATGAGGCTGAAATTTCAGGGAATTGTTACTCATATATCTGTTAATATACTGTGAAAATTTCATCCAAATTGGACGACACGTCAAAAACCATTTTTTGCCGCGGTTACTATTGGGCTGTCTCACTGTGTATCGTCCAAACGATTGTCGTCATACGTGATTCATGCCCTGATTTTCGATTCGAGAACTACATTAGAAACGTTTTTCTAACGTTATGCTGGATTTCAACTAGGCATTAAATGGCAAAAATTACAAAGATGGGCATTAAAAAGTAATCGTGTCATTACGTTAAACGAATTGACAGTAAGTTCATTTTCACATGGCACTTTTTTAAATAGCATAAATTTTTTGGCATTTTAATGCCTAGTGGAAATTCGGCATTAGACACCGTGTTTGCTGGGTACATATAAGTTCTTTAACTAAATTAAGAGAGCCCAATCTAAATAGCCTTTAATGTGTTCCTTCAAATTTCTACTAACACTATATGTGTAATTAACTTTAAGACTAAGCCCTAGTTAAGAATATACATTTATCTATATACATTAGGGTAGTAAAAAAAAGTAAAGTCGGAATTGTAATGCTCTAATCCCTTTAGGATTGTTCTGTGCGGAAAAAATATACCTTTTTTAATTTTAATTTGAAATAAAAAAATATCCTAGTTTTCCGTGAATTTTATATGGGAAAAAACAATTTTTCGTGGAAATGGTACAACATTCTTGAAAATCAAGATTTTTCGGTAGGCAAATTGTTTTTTGTTTTTCATTTAAAATATATGGAAAACTTTGAGCGTTCTGTAGATATCTTTTTTATTTCGAAAAAAAAGGGTATATTTTTTCGATACAGAATAATCCCGGGTGTTGAGAGCACCAAATTCTGACTACATTTTCACATAGATTTTTGGACCACCCCAATAAACATACATACACTTGTGGTCAGCTGATTACCTTACTATGTTTTTATCATGAATTTTTGTAGGAAATTTTCAAATGTGAGTTATGTGGCGCTGGTTAGGTAAAGTGCTAAACTTTTATAAAAAAATTTAAACATTATATAAATAAATGAAAAATTTCTAAAACTAGTCAAAATGTCACTTGACTTAATCAGCTGACTACAAGGGTACATATGTATGAATACAACTCTCAATTTAAGAATACAAATCTAACTAAAGATATTGCGCGCACGGAATACTTAAGTAAATTTAAGTATTAAATATATTTATAAGTCCCGTCACTTTTTCACTTAATCAAATGTCATCGTGAAGAAAATATTGTGTACAATTTTGTTCGTGTAATAAAGAATAATCTGTATACTTATACATAGTACTTACTTATTTCAGCACGACACAGTGTTTCAACTATATGGTGGCAGGTGGAAAAGTCATGAGACAGTTGATAAAAAAAAAACTGGTGAGTTTGGAGCATGGTGAAATTATAAACATGTGAAGTAATAAAACCGCTTTCTAGCTTAATTTCCTTTATTTTCTTGACATTCGTCTGTCTTATAGAAATTTTTGAAGGCAAATTTTCAAATAAGTCAAATCTTTCTTCTCTAGTATGATTGGGCTTAGAGAGGGAAGAGAAAAAAGTCATAATTACAAAATTTCACATCCTTTACTCACACTCCTCTACGAACGGTACGTTTCGAAAGAAATACTAGAAACGGCGGGATATCGGCCAATCAGTTTAGTTGCGTTTGGCGTTGAACCCATAAAAAGTCGTGGATTTTCCCACTGTTATCAATACTCTAAGTGTCATAGATTATTTACGTAAAGGTATTTATCATTTATTTGGTATTTTTCCTTTTTTATTTATCTCTTGCTAAACATTATTAGTAAAAAAAACGTGATTACGGTTTCGTCAGGTCTTGAAATGATATATGACATTTTCGATTTTCTTAATTTTTCGCCTGAGCTTCATTGCATAATTTCGCGAAAACCATTTTTGGAGCAATAGTAACATCAACCCAAAAATTGGGAGAATTGAAAATATTTACACCTATGTAATTTTTAAGTATAGCCTTTGTATTTCGAAGAGTGGTGTTGACTTTTTTAAACGTGCCCTTTATTTTGTATTATAATGTAAATAACAATTTATATCAAATATTCAGTAATACTTTAGCTACGTTAAAAAACTTGTCTTTGTCTCCCGACTGCCAAAAAAGTCTATGCCAATACTCGCCTGTAAATTGTCCGAACTTCTCCCGATAGCAAAGTAGAACAGCCAATCAGCGATCGCCTCGATGACAGTGAGTTTCAAGTTGGTAAAAAACGTTAGAGGCCGAGAGTTAACCACCATTTCAGATTCCATTAACGCAGCATGCAATAGTTCGTCACTAGTAGTTCTTCCTCTCAATATGGAATATAAAACATCTTTTACGGTGCCTACTAATCTCTCCCACACACCACCCATGTGGGGTGCCGCTGGTGGAATGAACTTCCAAGTAATTTTAGGACTGGTAAAGGTTCTGATGATTTCGTTTTTATCCATTAGGTCGAAAACGGCTTGCAATTCCCTTTCCGCACCCTTAAAATTTGTGCCATTGTCACTCCGAAACTCCACCGGATTACCTCTTCTGGCAATAAAATAGCGTATAGCAAAAATGGATGAGCCCGCTGAAAGAGTGTGAGCGATTTCGATATGGATCGCTCTTGTCGTGAAGCAGGTGAACAATACTCCGTACCGTTTTTCGCTGCTTCTCCTTATCGATACCAAGAGCGGGCCAAAATAGTCGACCCGACATATGAAAACGGCCGGTGGAAGGCAGCGACTCTAGCAGGCGGTAGATTGCCCATCCTAGGCGGTTTGGGCAGCGCGCTGTTAATTTTGCAATATGGAAATCGGCGTTTCACCTGATTGACAAGCACTCTTAGCCGAGGCCCCCAGTAATTACGTCGGACGTCGTTTACCACCGTTTCTGAATTTCTATGTTGACATTTAGAGTGAATATCGGACACGATCAGTTACGTTACATAATGATCTTTAGGAAGAATAACTAAATCGTTCTTCTCACTCGTGCATAAGCGTGAACCGAGACGAATTACTTTGTTGCTATCTAGATACGGAGATAGTTTGTAGATCTAACTAGAGCGTTAAACGTACCTCCCGTCTTTGAGCGAAAATATTTCATCTTTGAAGGTGTCAAGCTGGGCCTGTTTCCACAGCATTATTTCAGCCAGCTGGAAGTCTTCGGTGCGAGGTGTACGATAGCTAGCTTCTCTATCTTGCGAATGCTTTATTTGGTTCAACCAAATTCTGGCACAATAAATAACTGCTGCGGTCATGGTAAGGGGACGGCGCCAGGATGATTATCGATTTGCGTCTAATTTGATAAATTCGTTTAGCTGCCTTTCGTGATGTGCCCCAACGTATTGTGCGCGAAGTTCTTCAGTAGTAGTCGTATTAGATACAAAGGTCTGTGCTGGCCAATTCTGCGAGTCGAGCTTCAGAACCAATGGGCGTCGACACTTATTTCAGGAACTCTCTTTCATTTTATGGCTTCATCAGCAACGTTGTCATGCGTCGATGTCCAGTATCAATCAACTGGGTCAGTATTTTTTGAGTATTTCGCTAATACGATATGCAACGAATTGTTGGTAGCGGCGATGATCCCTATTGAACCAGGACAAAACCGTACGGGAGCGAGGAATTGTTAACATCTTGATGGCAGATACCCTAGTTTTTGAAGCAACGAGTACGCAATTAACACTCTCTCCCTCGTAGTATCTGAAGTAACTAACAGCCGCGTACCCATTCTCACTCGCATCTACAAACGTGTGTAGCTCCAATTCTGGATACGAGGGCAACGTCTGGCGAATATAACAGCGTGGAATTTTGATGCCCTCCATTTTCGGAAGATTTTGTTTCCACCGCAGTCAGCTCTGATACACTTCATCGGGAATTTGCTCATCCCATGAACACCTACTTCGCCAAATATTTTGCATAATCACCTTCGCGTACATAACGAAGTATCCAATTAGACCTAGAGGATCGAATATAGTCATGATAAGACTGAGGACTTGCCTCTTCGTAGGCCGTCGATTTGTGCGTATGAAGTCACTACTTCTAATTCGCTCAGACATTCTGAATGTGAGGCAATCTTCTGTGGTCGCTCACCACATTCCAAGTACCTTTTCGGTTGACAGATTGTTTTTGGTTGATATCTGCCGCATATTCAGCGTTAAGCTGATTAAGAACTGTTTTAGAGTTGGATACCCAGTTGCGGATGAGAAACCCGCCTTTTTGGTGAATTTGTTGTACATCCGTTGCTAGACGGAACGCATCATCCTCGGTGTCTACACTATCGAGCATGTCATCAACGTAGTGGTTGTTTATGATGCACTGCGCAGCTTGAGGATAATGACTGCTAAACTCCTCGGCATTTTTATTTTTTACATATTGTGCACAGCTAGGGGAGCAGGTTACGCCGAACGTCATAATGGTCATGACGTACGCCGAAGGTTGCCGAGCTCCCGGTTCATACCATAAGAAACGCTGGTAATTTTGGTCCTCTGGTCTGATCAGCGTTTGGTGTAACATCTCAACGATGTCACCGCCAACAGCAATCCTCCGCTGACGAAATCGGCACAAAGCAAAGAGTTTAGCGAGATGCCATTGACTTTAAACTCTTTAAGTAGATCAACGCAAGCGGAATATGTGCAGTTGCATATGTGAAAAACATGGTGCTCAGGAATAACTTCTTCGCTGGACAACTGTCCTTTAACAGTCCAACCGATACGCGTTTTCTCGGCGATGGGTTCCAACAACGTTCCAGTTCGGGTTTTGGTTGTCGAAGTTAAGGCACTGTTGTTTAGACCAATTAGCAGCTTGGGTTGAAT